GATAATAAGTGTTAGGTCTAAACAATGACCTTAAAAATCTATGTATATGTTTCTAAAACGTGTTGGACCTTCTTTAAAAATAAGATAAAGTTCTAGGCCGAATATGCAAAATCTTCATAATTTCAATAAAATAGAGGTATATTACTCCCCCAGACTTAGCTTTTGCTTGCCCTCAAGCAAAACACATAAGTCGAACCCGTGGAAGAGGTTTGAAAACGCAAGAACTCCCAATATTCTCTAGCCTATTGCCTTGTGATATGGTTCAAATTACCTAGAACTACTCTCTTAAATAAGAGATCAATTGCAGTATTTTAGGATCGAATTCACGGAGTTCTTTTGTTCAAACAGTGAGTTAAATATCGAGATTAAGCTAGCAGGGTATGAGTAAAATAGTAAGAAAACAAAGTAAGAAAACAACAAGATGATTGTGTTGCGAACGATTTAATAAAAAGCTAGGAACAAGGTATTCTTAGGATACTATTAGTTAGTAGATCTAATGAAAGCTAGGTTGTTATTGAACCATTCTTAAACTCAAACTCTAATTATAGAATAATCGGTGCGCGTGCCGCGAACTATATCTATAGCTAATAATAACCGGAGAAGCCGAGAAACTATCAACCTAAATATGCATTCTTAACGAGTTCAATTGTTCATCTTAGTAGATAGGCCGGTTCTTATTACACACCTATAAACCAGACTCATCAAATAATAGATCCAACTACAGATACCTATGGCGGGCATATCTATTGTCTGGATTCAAGATCTAGTTAATTACTCTAGATCTAGCATTAAGCATAATTAAAGATGAAGAATCCTACAAATAACCTAGCAAAGGGGGCAATCTACTAAACCATATCAATCCTTAATGAGAAACCCTATTCCTAACAAGCAGATTACTCAAACATATTGGTTGAAGCAACCAACATATTTGAGTATGAAAACATAAACACAGCAAATAGATTCAGGGAACGAAATGATCTCTTCACTGTATTAAGATCTGAATAAAACTTTGAAAACAATCGATGAATAGCTTATTGATAATAGGTTTTTAGTCAATTATCCTAAAACACCAATCATGTCGTTGTAGTATTTTAGGTGTCAATCCAAATGGGTGTGATGCAAACAGATGAGATGTGATCAGAAGTCACTAAGTCAAGCCAAGCAATAACTGTTTTGGGGTTTCTAATAGTCCTAAGCGAACATGCAGAAAACAGAAACAATAACAGAATTACTAAAATCACTCGACCACAACAGGCTGATGCCAGAAGTAGGATGTGATCGAGTAACAGGTCGAGTAACAGACAGGATATGAAACAGATATACTCGACTGCACTGTCTGTTGCCAGACACTGGGTGTGGTCGAGTATACTGGTCGAGTAACAGACAAGAAATGAGACAACCGTACTCGACTGCACAGTCTGTTGCTAGACACTGGGTGTGGTCGAGTATACTGGTCGAGTAACAGACAAGAAATGAGACAACCGTACTCGACTGCACAGTCTGTTGCCAAACACTGGGTGTGGTCGAGTAAGTTGATCGAGTAGTTGCAAAAACAAAGAGACAGGCAATGAGAACGATTAAGCGATAACGATAAAACAGAGAAATCAGATAGACGAGAAATTCCTAAGGACGGGGTAATCGAATAGAGTGGTATCCTAGCCTATTCGAATGGTTAACAAGCGCAATCAAGCTATCCCTAGACAACAGGTTCAACAACAGATTAATTAACTCCCGTGATAAAAATCCTCAAGCAAAGCTAGCCCAGACTAATTCCCATTAACGGAATCTAACTATGCAGGCAATAAGAACAGACTGATAAAGTCAATAAACGCTCTAAACGGCCAATCCCTTGGGATAGAGACGAATATCTCAGGAACTAGTGGATCAAGCATTCCATCGAACACCTTCTGGGTGCGGGAATGCTTGGGATCGAATTCCAGTTGATTAGAAAGAAATAAGCAGTAAACACAACTAGTCCTGAAGGGATTCAATCAATTCTAAAACTTAACCATTCTACAGACTACGAATTCCACAACTACTCTATCCCATCCTTAAGAATTCTAAGTCACTACTCAGACAACATGCTCAAAGACATAAACGCAGATAAATGATAATATTGCATAAGTAAGAGAAAAAAGTAGGGAAACAAGATGACAAATGAAATCAAATGCGGAATCTGAATAACTTGGAAAAATCTCGAATTACAGGTTGCAGAAGTAAAAGCGGCGCAGCAGAGAAAACAGAAAATAAAACTGAAGCAAAAAAACTCAATGTCGACTAGATGTCCTGGTACAGAATCCTAAGACATCTATTTATACAAAACGAAATAAAATAATAGTAGACGAGCCAATAACCTAATCGCCCGGCCCATAGAATGATAATGGGCCGAGATGGGCTTCGTGATCCGATGGAGGTCCAGGCCGCTTCAAAACACTTTGTCTTCTCCTCTTCTCTTCCTTGTGCTCAGCTTGTTTGGTTGAGTGCGGATTTGAGTAGACTATGAAGATGTGATCGAGTGCCCGGTCGAGTGATGGTGTTGGTGGTGAGTGATGATACTCGACCAGGGGGTCGAGTAACGTGGTAGAGTGAACGGCCGAGTGTGGTCAGGTGGTGTGGCAAAGTGATACTCGACCAGGGGGGACGAGTGGCGTCATCGAGTGGCCTGAGCTGAGGTTACTCGACCCCCGGGTCGAGTAGATGGGAAGAATGGCTCCAAAGTCACTCGACCAGGGGGTCGAGTATGGCTTCTTGTTCTGGCTCGTTTCTTCCAATTTGCTCGCAAACAGCTCCAAATCACCTGAAAACAACTCAGAAATGCAATATATATACAAAGCTATCCTAATCATGCAAAGTATGCAAGAATGATGAGAAATGATATAAAACAGTGATGAATGATACGAAACTGGACTCAAAACGATGATGAATGGACACTGAAAACAGGCAAATTATAGACATATCAACTCCCCCAAACTTAGTCTTTGCTTGCCCTCAAGCAAATAAGAAGACATAGTTGAAGGAGAGGTTTGAAGGTGGGGACTCAGAACCAAAGCATCTGATAGAGCAAATAAAATCAATGTCCAAGTTGGTAGTTCTAAGATGCGATATGATTGAATTTTACTCGAAAACGTTAGCCATGCCTTGTTATCAATCAATCCGTCTCTTATACTCGACCTACACATGCTTTCAAATCTACCAATCCCTTTAACATTCATTAGTTCTGGAACGTGAATCAAACAATGCATCATCAATGAACTCATTTGGCTAAGGTGAAGGTCAAGAGACAAAGATGGTCCCTTACAGAATAGGCTTAAGTAACAGGGGATCTCTCAAGAATGATTGAGCTTTAGTAGAATGCTAAAGGTAAGTTCCAAGTTATGCATACAGAGATAAGATCCCATCTACCCAGAGTATAACAATGAAGCTCTAATGGTAATCCCAACTCCAGTCCCAATACAAGAACTTAACTCTACCCTTTGCACTCATGAATCTTTCAAACTCTTTTCATATCATTCTTTTCTTTTCTCTTAACTCTAGGAGAAGCTTTCTCAACACTCTGATACATCTAGCGGATTTGGATTTCTTTAACAACTAAGGTTCCTGTTTTTAATCTTTAAAACAAAAGGCTTTTAACCCTTCTTCTTTAGCTAACAAGAACCTCATTCTTTTCTTTAACATTCCCAAAACCTTTACTAGATTTTTTTTTTCTAACTTCTTTAGCTTACTTCCCCTAGAATTCTTTCCCTTTCCTTATCAACAATGAATTCACCCTTTTTTTTTTTTAAACAGATCCAAACCCATGATATAAGCGTCCACCTAGTCCTATCCAGTCCGAAAAACGCGAACTAGAACTACATGAGACACTATCTCTGTCGTTACGAACCTAACACTTTCTACCAAGCTCAATTGAAATAAGACCTCACAAACACTCACAAGTGATATAGGGCTCGAAAGAAAGATTAGGTTTGGGTTTGGGTTAACTGCTCTAATAAGGAGAGTCAGCTACTTGATTAACAAGAGTGGTTAAAATGAGTAAGAAAATCCAAGTATTTTAGGGTATCCATGAGTTCAAATTCGATGGCAAGACATGATAATTCTAAATCAGATTCAAGTTCAAATTGATAGGGAATGGTATCAAATCCTAACAGTGTGGTCGAGTAGAGCAATCTAGGCATGGTGCAGTTTTACTTCAATTTCATTGACTATGCATCAGACAACTAACAACGAGGGCACTGAGTTTATCTAGTGAACCAAAATGCTAACAAGGCTATCTCATCATTATCCCCTATGCATATGCAATGATCCTAAATGAAATACTCTAGACTCGATCGTAAATGCAATGCAACTACATGAACACTCTGTTTTTGTGAAATCATTTTCTGAAATTTTTCAATTTTTTTGGTTTTTTCTATGCCTTAGATGAATGCAGACTCAAGATTATATACAATGCAACACACACTTCCTGAGCCCTCCCCCAAACTTAAATCACACAGTCCACTGTGTGACCAAATTTGGAAGAGAGTACTCAGGACAAAACACATCACAGAAACAAAATAAAAACAGGAGATGGTATATTACAATGGTGGAGTGAGGTGCTTACCTCAGTGGAAGAAGGAGCGGAGTTGGTCGTCAATAGCCGCCTGTGATTGCTCCCAGGCCATCGAAGAATCTCCCTATTGTGTCTCAGCTTCCCCCTAGGGGTACTCGACCTCTGCTCCTTCGTCGCGGCCAGCACCGCTCTGATGATACTCGACCTCTCTTCTTCTGCTGCGGCCAGCACCGCGGTCGCGTAAGCTACGGGACTGGAGAAGTCGTGTACTCCTGCTGCCAGCCTTCTTCCTTCTCCCAAGCTCTCGAGGCTCGAATGATGAATGCCTCGCAGGGACTTGTGAGACTACTCGGTCACTAGGCTCAGGCCTGTGGTAACTTGGCTCAGGCCTGTGGCGAGTTGGCTCTGGCGCGTCATATCTCCTCGAGGGCATGTCCTGAGGAGGCTCTCCCTGCAGAATAGATGTGGTAGAAGAGGAGCAGCTTAGCTTGTCTGACACAAACTTGATGGCCTTGAAGCACTTGATGAGTAGCCTATCTTGTTTCTTGCACCACCTATGCAACTTACTGTTGTTTCTGTGAGCTTCGCTCAAGCTCTTGCTCTCCCTCGCTGGAGGTACATGCTCACTGAAATGATACATGCTCGTATCGTACTCCTCCTTCCTATCCTCATCTGTCTCAGCAATCTCATCCTCTGTAGCTTCTGTTGTAGGGACGTTGTCATCAGTCGGTGGAGCGCTCTCAAAGTAGAGGTAATCACGCGCAGGCTTGAAGTCAATGTTTTCGCCCTGGAGTATGGTTGTGGCCTCGGTGCAGGGAAGCAGAATGTTGGCTGTTCGGGTCAAGGAGTGCTCGAATTTGTAGCGATAGAAATCGCCAACCATATCGTGCTCCAGAAACTCACAACGACGCAAGTGATCTAAATCCATCATCCTCGGATCAAGCCCTGGAGACGTGAGAGGTACACCACATGCAATCAGAATCGGTGTCACAACACCACTTACACTTCCCGTTGGTGTGCGCCCACTTCCTGTATCCACACAGGTGGATCAACAGAAGCATAACCGGTGGTGCATCATTGAGGTCGCCCTTCAGGACCTTCTTCCCCTTTTTTCTGCGGAGAATGCCCTTGAGTGCAGAATCAATCATCTCCATGTCTTTGTTAGACACGGTACCTGTAGATTCCGTAGATTACAGAACATTCACTACAGAGCATTGATAGTAGCGGATCACAGGGCTTCGAATCTGGTTGCTCTTGGACCTCGCAGAGTTGAGCGCCATATCGTTCCCAATAGTTAACCACAAATCCTTCAACTCTTCCCTCTCGAACTTTGGTGTAGTTTCCTTTCCACTGGGGAAACCAAACAATCCTTCCAAGCTCCTGATAGATAGCTGGTAACGCTGCTCGCTCACTGAAAAAGTCAAGAACCCCAACCCTTCACTCTCCAGCTCATCTGCTGTAAGTCCCTGATACATCTCCACTTGTAGAGTGGAAAGAAACTCTATTGTTTCCTTCTTGTAAGCGACGTACGGGTAAGACATCAGTGTCTCCAGATGACACTTCTCGAATAAGTGCTGTACGTCCTCCAGTAGCCCCAGCTGGGCTAAAGTCTGATAACAAGGGTACCTCGTTCCCTAGAAGTTGTTCAGCTCGAAAAGTCTGATGTACTCCTCTACTGTAACTTCATCAGGCCTGTTCAACAGCTTCGTCTCTCTGTGCCATGACTCAGGCTCATACTCGACGTCAATATCTTCGTCGATCAACTCATATCTACTGGTCATTGCTCTTTTTCCTCTAGCAATCTCAGCTCTCCTCTCATTGCGTCGAGCTACTGAGCGTTGGGTCTCAGCTCTGAAGCTCTCATAAGCCTGTCCCTCTCTCTTTGGTCCAGTTGACCAAGATTCAGCTTCATCGACGTTGTAATCCATCCATGGAGGATTCGCCACTATAGTTACTCATATTGATTTCCTGAAAAAGAATGTAACTCAAAGCCAAACGTTAATATGTTAGTCCAAATAAATGCAAACACTAAACCGGTCAAGTACACGGTCGAGTATTACGGTCGAGTACAGTGAAATTGTGGCTTCGGGTATAGCGGTCGAGTGAAGATGAATGAGAGACGGTAACTGCGTGGTCGAGTAAACGGCGAATGGAGAGAAGACGGTGGCGGTTTGAGGAGCGGTCGAGTGAAGCTTCACGGCAAGTGAACAGCTTGAGGTCGAGTGAAGAGATGAACGGAGGCGCAGTGAATGGCGAGGTCGAGTGAACGGCGAGAAGCTTCGGCGAAGTCGAGTTGGCTCGCGAGAACGAGAGAGAGAAACTCTGGCCGTTTGTCAAAAATCGAATGAAGAGCCTCTTTATCCAAATTGCAGGGCGGTCTAGTGAATGGTGGATAGTTGAGAGATGGTGAAGCCGGTCCGGCGGTCGAGTGAAAGAGAGGGAACGAAGATGAGGTCGAATAGCGGTTGAGTATGGAGAGGTGAGAGAAAGAAATCGAAGTAGAGGTTGAGGGGCTCGTGCGGTCGAGTGAAGAGGAGGCGAGAGCGGTGAGAGATGATGAAACCGGTCCCATCGTCGAGTGGAAGAGAGGGAGAAGGCAGTGGCGTGAGCGGTGAAAGCTGAATTGTGGTCGAGTAGGAAAATGGACGAAGTGGTGAGGGATGGTGAAGTTGGAACGGCGAGGTCGAGTGAAGAGGAGGCGAAGTTGAGACGGTGAAGGTCCGCCGGTCGAGTAGGCGGCGAATAGAGAGGAGCGGCGTTGCGATCGAGTGAAAGAGAGGCGGTGAGAGAGATGTCGAGTGATGTTTGGTCGAGTGAGAGACGTGAGGGAGAGTGTGTATGCAAGGTCGAGTGAATGGAGAGGAAGAGAGATGATGTCGGTGGAAAAGGATAGGGTGAGATCGAGTGGTGGAGAAGCAGTCTTGGGATTTCGTTATCTCTAAAAACGCGTGGGGGAACAAAGGTGAGAGGTGGTGGGCCACGCTCTGTCTGTTTGTCCTGAAGCACTGTTCTCTGTTGACTAGGAATGTCTCAGAACCTTCTGTAATCCTCTGTAAACTTGATAAACTCTCTGTAAGTCTTTGTAGCTTCTGTTGGTCGAGTATAAATATGATTTCAAAATTTTGAGTTTTTAAAATCATCACTAATACTCGACCCAACTACTCGATCTCATGGTCTTTGAGTGCAACAGAACTTTTTTCAAATTCTTGAATTCCTTTACACTGACATACTCGATCCCCTGTTGCTTTGTAGAGTAAAATTTTAAAATTTTTACTCTACCTCCACGCTGTTTCTCTGTTCCTGAAAATCACAAACACAGCCAAAAACAAATCAAAAATAACAAGAAAATAAAAGTTTTATTTACAGAAACAGTCTTGGGAATTCCTCCCAAGTGAGCTTGTTTAAAGTCTCTAGCTTGACTCCTCTCACTCATTAAGAAGAAAATGCGTGATAGAGAGGATCTGCATAGTCCTCTCTAATCTCATCATCATATTCAGCATCCTCTCTTGAGAGATGCGTGGCAGAATACTCAATTCTTCTTTCCTCGAAATAGGCCTCTTTCTCTTCTGGTGGATAATCTATCTCCTCAGACCATCTTGAAGTAAACTTTTATCTCGGGATAGTATCAGTCCCGCATTTTGATTGAGCTTTCTCTTGCATCTGATCCAATTTACTCTTAAGTTCCTCAACTGTCTGAGCTAGCTTCTCTATGGTTTCTTCTTGCTCATCAGATTTCTTTTTGAGATCTCGCAAGTCAGGTGTAGAGGTTGTGCTTGGTCTGGTGATTGAATCTGAAGGTTGAGGCTGAGCCCTGATCTTTTCTTCTAGAGCTGTCCTTTGCGAAGTTTCGTTGATGTCAAACTGCAGCTTGATGTGCTTCCCAAGGTTGAGACTTATTCTCCCGTCTTTGACATCTATCATCGCTCCCACGGAGCTAAGAAAGGTCTTCCTAGGATCAGAGGATTCTTAGGTTCTGCTTCCATCTCAAGCACAACGAAATCTGTAGGTACTTCCACTCCATTAATCATTACTGGCAGATCTTGTAGCAGGCCAAAGGGTTTCCTTGAGGACCTATCAGCAACGATCAAAGTCAGGTCGCAAGGCCTGTACTGAGTGAATTCCAGCTTCTTTGCCACGGAGAGTGGCATTAAGCTTACTGAAGCTCCCAAATCACATAGACAATTGCTGAAGACCAATTGACCAATGGAACATGGTAGAGTGAAACTTCCAAGATCTTCCAGTTTTTCTTGAACACTCCTCTTAACAGTGGCCCTAGACGGATTAGCATCACATTCGTCTTCTGAATCTTGATAAATCTTGATCCTTTCCAGATTAACTTTCTCACATCTTTGTGAGGATTCGGGATCAGGTTGAGAACTTCTATTAGAGGCATCACCGCTTCCATCTTATCAAGCTGCTTCTCTACAAGAGAATTGTATCTTTTTATCTATGCTTTCCTGAATTTCCATGGAAGAGCACGTGAAGGTAATGGTGTTGTAGAAGCTGGTTGTTGTTGCTGCTGTGTCAACCCAGGTGGTGGAAGTTGCTGCGGATAGTTGCCCTGATACTGCCGATTAGGAACATACCCCTGACCTTGGTTGTATGGAACAAAGGGCTTGGGTTGATTCTGCTGCTGTGAAGGGTAGACTTGGTCCTGCGAGTTTACAACATTTGTACTTCTGTAAGACAGATTGGGATGGTTCTGCTTGAAGTTGTTGAAACCTTTGTTGTAACCTCCTTGGTTCTGCACATAGCTAACCTCTTCTGACTGCAGAGTCTCCCCATCCTGAACTTGGAACGTCTCATCATCACCCAGAAAATGAATGTGCTTCTGTTGCACAAGGAGTAGCTTGTCTAGTTTGTCATTCATAGCTTTCATTTCCCTGCGGTGCTTCTCATCAGAATCAGAGCTGTGGCGGATGCTTCTATCGTAATCTTCATTGTAGTTGCCATCCGACTGAGCCAAGTTCTCTACCAGCTCCCACCCTTCTTCAACGTCTTTGTTGAGGAAGTTCTCGTTAGAAGCGGTATCAAGAAGCATCCTTATCTTGGGAAGGACACCTCTGTAGAGAGTGTTGAGAAGTGAAGCTTTGGAGAAACCATGATGAGGACATTGTGTCTGATAACCTTTGAAGCGCTCCTATGCTTCACAGAAAGTCTCATTATTTGTTTGTGTGAAACCGGAGATATCATTCTGTAGTCTCGCAGTCCTGGAGTTTGCGAAAAACTTAGCCAAGAAGGCTTTCTTTGTGTCATTCCAGGAGGTAATAGAGCCTTGAGGAAGCGACTTTTCCCACTGATGGGCTTTGTCTCCAAGAGAGAATGGAAACAATCTAAGCTTGAAGCCATCCTCACTAACTCCATTGATCTTTGTTAGGCTGCAGAGCCTATCAAACTCGTCCAGGTGATCGAGTGGATCCTCCATAGGGAGACCGTGGAACTTGTTGCTCTGAACCATGGCAATGAGACCGCTCTTGATCTCAAAGTTGTTGTTCTGCACTGGTGGAGGCACGATGCCATTACCCTGATTGTGGTTGCGTGGTGCATCGCCTGCACCTATGTTGTTTGGTTGCACTTGCTCATCTACAACTGCAGCCATTGTGTCTGCTTCTGTCTGTGTTCTGAGTTGGCGTGCGATACGGTCGATGTTATCGTTGAACAGGAGATTCTAATTTCCTTGTGACCGTGCTTGCATACAACGAGTACCAACTGGCGAAGCTGGTGATTCACAGTACTTGAATCAAAACAGACAAACAGAAAAAATACAAAGTTAGTAACTTTTAGAAAAAATGAAAAAGAAGTTGATCTTAAATTTTCTGAAATCTCAAATATAGCAAACAAGCACCCAATTGGCATTGACGCCAAATTGATAATAGGTTTTTAGTCAATTATCCTAAAACACCAATCATGTCGTTGTAGTATTTTAGGTGTCAATCCAAATGGGTGTGATGCAAACAGATGAGATGTGATCAAAAGTCACTAAGTCAAGCCAAGCAATAACAGTTTTGGGGTTTCTAACAGTCCTAAGCGAACATGCTGAAAACAGAAACAATAACAGAATTACTAAAGTCACTCGACCACAACAGGCTGATGCCAGAAGTAGGATGTGATCGAGTAACAGATCGAGTAACAAACAGGATATGAAACAGATATACTCGACTGCACTGTCTGTTGCCAGACACTGGGTGTGGTCGAGTAACAGACAAGAAATGAGACAACCGTACTCGACTGCACACTCTGTTGCCAGACACTGGGTGTGGTCGAGTAAGTTGATCGAGTAGTTGCAAAAACGAAGAGACAGGCAATGAGAACGATTAAGCGATAACGATAAAACAGAGAAATTAGATAGACGAGAAATTCCTAAGGATGGGGTAATCGAATAGAGTGGTATCCTAGCCTATTCGAATGGTTAACAAGCGCAATCAAGCTATCCCTAGACAACAGGTTCAACAACAGATTAATTAACTCCCGTGATAGAAATCCTCAAGCAAAGCTAGCCCAGACTAATTCCCATTAACAGAATCTAACTATGCAGGCAATAAGAACCGACTAATAAAGTCAATAAACGCTCTAAACGGCCAATCCCTTGGGATAGAGACGAATATCTCAGGAACTAGTGGATCAAGCATTCCATCGATCACCTTGTGGGTGCGGGAATGCTTGGGATCGAATTCCAGTTGATCAGAAAGAAATAAGCAGTAAACACAACTAGTCCTGAAGGGATTCAATCAATTCTAAAACTTAACCATTCTACAGACTACGGATTCCACAACTACTCTATCCCATCCTTAAGAATTCTAAGTCACTACTCAGACAACATGCTCAAAGACATAAACGCAGATAAATGATAATATTGCATAAGTAAGAGATAAAGAGTAGAGAAACAAGATGACAGATGAAATCAAATGCGGAATCTGAATAACTTGGAAAAATCTCGAATTACAGGTTGCAAAAGCAAAAGCGGTGCAGCAGAGTAAAACAGAAAATAAAACTGAAGCAAAAAAACTCAATGTCGACTAGATCACCTGAAAACAACTAAGAAATGCAATATGTATGCAAAGCTATCCTAATCATGCAAAGTATGCAAGAATGATGAGAAATGATATAAAACAGTGATGAATGATACGAAACTGGACTCAAAACGATGATGAATGGACACTGAAAACATGCAAATTATAGACATATTTCTAATGTCTCTTCGTAAAAGGGTTTTGTAGAAAACTTGATAATGAAAGCTGGATGAAAGACTTGATAATAAGAAAACTAGGTCTAAAAACAATATAAAGACCCTAAAAACGTCCAGGGACTAATAATGCAAATAAAGAAGTCTTCTGAGGCAAATTTCCTCTACTGTAAACTCGAAAGCGTCTAAGACTTTTTCTGGGCCGACGCTGGTGTCGATCGACACCAAGAGTGTGTCGATTGACACTCCTCGCTGATTCCTGAATCCAAATTCATCCTTAGCTTCCTTTCCTCTAGCTCTTGCTCCAAAATGTCTCCTTATCTCCATTGTTGTTCCACTGCATAAAGTACCTGAAAAGACACTAAAAAGACTCGAGAAATAACATAACGACTCAAAATCCTATACCTAAAACATAGATAAAATCAGTGAAAAACGGGTTATATCAACTCCCCCAGACTTAGCTTTTGCTTGCCCTCAAGCAAAACACAAATGCCAAACCCGTGGAAGAGGTTTTGAAAACAAAGGAACTCCCAATATTCTCTAGCCTATTGCCATGATTATTCAAACTAAGTCCATATGCCTAACAAGTCTAATCAAATCCTAACCAACATGTATTTCTCTGCAAGCTTACACAATATTCTAGATTCTATACCTAAGTTCCACAACTATACCCACCAGGCTTTCATCGTTGGGTCTCATCAAACAAGCCAACATTCAAGATCCTTCTAGACTCATTCATGTACTATACATGATAAATTGACCATTCTTTATATATATTTTTTTTCTTTTTCGGTGTTCTTTCTCTCCCCAGACTTGTTCTTTTTAGAGAGTAAACAAAGGGGAACTTGCATACTGGATCGACACCCTCGACATTTTTCCAACATCTGTAATTGATCATTCCAAATAATGTATAATAAGGGTCATATGAAATATTCCTACCCCTATACACTATCTGAAAGTTGTCTCAATCTCTCATTATATTTTTTCTTTTTATAAGGGGAGAGGAACATATTCTTTTTATCACATTGGTCTCAATATCAGGTATGAACAAGAAGTCAAGATCTATGAATACTAATCATTTGAGGAGGTAAAAGAAAGAGCAGTGAGATTAGCTCCAGCCTTAGTGGTTGAGTTGAAAACTAGGATATCCTCAAGTCTGTTGGTTTGCCATCTAGATTTTCCAATAGTCGGATTGACTAGAACCTGCAACACTCATCAATTAGGCAATAAACAAGAGAAATATAGATCATGATTCCTAACTAAACTAAACAAAAACGTTTTTTTTTGTTTTTTTTGTTTTTTTAGTGTGAATAAAAAATATAACCAAATAAACTGCAAAACAAAAAATAATAAGAAACAAAAACAAAAGCAACATTAGTATGAACCTCCCCGAGACTTAAATGACACTGTAATCCAGAGAAAGCTGGAAAATAAAATCAAAAATAAAAGAAAATAAAAAAAAGAAAGAGAAAGATCAAAACAGTGGGTTGCCTCCCACTAAGCGGTTGTTTTGAGTCAATAACTCGACTTGGTGGAGTTCAGGATGTGGGTGGAGTGGTGGAGGATTGTTGCTGCCTCCTCGCCTTCCAAGATGGTGTGTAAACGGATCTGGTTAGGGCAGCTGCAGGTGTCAATCGACACTCTTCTCGTCACCTGCAAGAACAACAGGAGAAACAAGCTTTCGAGGAACTCTAGGCTTGTTATCTTATGAAGCATTCTTCGAATAATCTAAAGAAATAATCAAAGGTAAAGCAGGAGAGGAGATAGAAGAGAACTTATCACAAAGTTCCTCAAGTGGTGTGGGCTGAAGAGAATGTGCAGAATCATCTTTCTGTGAACCCGTGGGTGTCGATCGACAGAGGTAGTGGTGTCGATCGACACCGTTGCTCTGCAACTCTCATTTGCGAGCTGAGCGAATGGGAGCGTTGTGTGTGGTTCTGTGGTGGGATTCTAAGCAGTCTAAGGAGGTGTGTCTATGCTGGAAGCAATGCAACTGATAGGCTTAGTAAACTCTGAACCATCCATGCCAAACTCCATCTCCAAATCACAAACCTTGAGAGAGATTCTCCCTCTCTTCACATCAAACCTACCACCAGCTGTAGCTAGGAATGCTCTCCCAAGGATAAGAGGATCCTTGGGTTCCTTCTCATAATCCAGGTCCACAAAATCAGCAGGGTTAACAGAGTTACCAACCTTAACAGGAACATCTTCAAGGATTCTTTCAGGGATTCGCTTGGAACGATCCGCGAAGAGAAAAGTGATGTGAGTCGGCCTGTAATGAGTCATGCCTAGTCTCTCAGTAACAGACTTAGGCATGAGGTTGATGCTTTATCCTAGATCACACAAAGAGCGGCTGAATCTGCTTGTAAAGATAGAGCAATCAAGAACAAAGCTACCTGGATCTGGAATCTTCCCAGTAGTCTGACCAGGAGTAATGGTGCGGATGTACTCAGCTATGTCTACTCTCTGTGTCTTCTCCTTCTTGGCCTTAGGCAGCATGATTGCACTGATGTCTTTGGTAAGCAGCTTAGCTTCATCTGAGCTAATTCCATTGTCAACTAGACGCTTGAGATACCTGTTGAGTGAAGCAGAAGATGTCTTAGAAGCATCCTTAGGAAGAGTATAGAGGATCTTCTCCATTATGGCTGTGCACTTAGCGGCATGAATCTCCTGCTTAGAACGACGCTTCCTCGGATAAGGGACATGAGGAGTGTAAACAGACTCGGGTTGCATAGGTATTTGCACCTCACAAGGTGCAGTCCGGATCCAGTGTTGATCGACAATGGATGGGTATCGATCGACACCGTCATATTGAGTCGTCTCTGAGAAAAGAGTCCCGTATGGTGTCGATCGACACAGGAGGGTGTCGGTCGACACCATCTCTGCAACTGCAAGCTCCAACTCCTCTTCAGTGTCCAATTCCTCCCACACATCATCTCCTTCTTTAATCAAGATGGCATTACAGCTCTTCCTTGGGTTTGCATCAGGATTACCAAGAAGAAAGCCCTCTTGTCTCTTGA